AATCAATCTCCTATCCCTAGCACAAAAGATCAGCTATGTAACATGAATTCAACACGATAAATTGATTCTCCTATTTTAATCATTGTTCATGAATTAAACAAGAGAGAAAAGCTTACAATTATTCTAATCCGAGTTCGAATGTTGAAGTCGATATACAAGCTTAATCCGACAAAAAAAAAAAGAAAAAACGAGGAAAATAAAGATGAAAAGAAGAAAGAAAAATGAAGAAGAATGAGAGAGGAGAAGGAGAAGAGAGGAGTTCCTGAATTTTCCTTCGGGCTAGGGTTCATCTCCCGAAGGGAGAGAATAATCCCCTCCAAATAAAAAATCTGACATATAAAATCTCCTCGCAGGAGGTTGTTGTAAATATTTTTATCGGAGTAGAATCAAAGGAATGACATGTTCATTTTTATTTATTTATTTTTTTTTTTGGTAAAAAAAATGGTGCACATTAATGAAATCCTTACTTAAACATGAAGAAGAAAATAATGAAGAAAACTGAAAAATGAGAATAGAATTTTTAATCTCAGAATTATTCTTGTTCATACTTTTTCATAATACACGACACACAACCATGAACTCTGGTTTACAATATTTATACAGCATAAATATAACTTCCCTATGCCTCTAACTGCTAAGTAACCGTATTACATGATAATGCATGATCATGCTGTAACTACTCTTTCACACATGAGTTTCCTTCTTTGCCCTTGATCATCTTCTTCATCAGATTTAAGGTTTCTAACATGCCCCCTCAATTCTATGGAAGCCTTTGGAATGATTCCCAATTTATTCTTAAGCTTCACATAGAATTGACCACTTAAAGGTTTAGTCATAATATCTGCAATCTGATCCAAAGCAGACACATGTCTTACTGCAATCCTTCCACTCATCACCTTCTCTCTGATAAAATGTAGATCAAGTTCAAAATATTTAGTTCTTGAATGGTTCACTGGATTAGCTGATAAAGATACAGCTCCTTGATTATCCATCCATATGACTGCTTTTGTTTCACTCTTCATCTTCAATTCATACAAAAGTGATTCCAGCCACATTATTTCACAAACTCCTAGTGCCAAACTTCTATACTCCGATTCAGTTGAAGATCTAGAAACTGTAGGTTGCTTTTTAGATCTCCATGACACTAAATTCCCATCAAGATAGACACAAAGGCCAAAAGTTGATCTTCTATCATCCACATCTGAAGCCCAATCAGCATCTGCATATGCTGTGATCTTGAAAGTCTTGCATTTTGAAATTTTGAGACCTTGATCAATGGTTCCATTAAGATATCTGATAATTATTTTCACTGCCTTCCAATGAGTATCAAGAGGATTTTGCATAAACTGACTTACTTTGTTTACTGCAAAACTAATGTCAGGCCTGGTAAGAGTTGCATATTGCAAGCTTCCTACTATCTGTCTATAGAAAAATGGATTCTCCATTGGTTGGCCAGAGAATTTTGACAAAGTTGGGGTGGAAACCATTGGTGAACTAACAGATTTTGCCCCCTTCATCCCAGCTTTGTCCACTAAATTAGTAATATATTGTTGTTGACTGAGAAACAACCCTTCTGAAGTGTGAGTAGCTTGAATTCCAAGAAAATAGTGTAAAGAACCGAGATCCTTTAATGAGAACTGTGAGTGAAGAGTTTTGACAAACTCATTCAATTGAGAATCATCTGAGCCTGTAAGGATAATGTCATCCACGTAAGCCATAAGTATAATGCAAGAATGTTGATCATGCTTGATATAAAGAGAAGAATCTGATTTAGAGATAACAAATCCCATAGTAAGCAGCATGTGTGAAAATTTGCTAGACCAAGCCCTGGATGCTTGCTTTAACCCATATAATGACTTTTTGAGTTTGCAAACAAGTGTCTTCTCATTGCCAATTTGAAATCCCATAGGCTGCTGCATATAAATATCTGCATCAATATCACCGTTCAAAAATGCATTATCAACATCCAATTGCTTGATAGTCCATCCTTTTGTTATGGCCAGTGAAAGAACAACTCTGATTGTGGTAGGTTTAACCACAGAACTAAATGTCTCTGTGTAATCCAAGCCAGAACATTGGTTGTATCCCTTTCCAACCAATCTAGCCTTGCATTTGGCCACTGTTCCATCTGGATTTCACTTAACCTTGAATACCCATTTGTTTCCAATAACTTCTCTATCCTTGGGTATAGGTGTAAGATCCCATGTCTGATTCTTCATCAAGGCTTTATACTCTGAATCCATTGTTGCTTTCCACTCTGGTATATGCAAAGCTTATTCCACTGAAGATGGTTCAGTGATCTCCTTTGACACAGTTGTTATATAAGAAAGAATTTTTGGCTTTCTGATTCCAGCTTTAGACCGGGTGGTCATGGGATGAGTTCCTGCATTATGATTCATTGAACTAGCATGTGGTGATGATCAGGTGAATTATTATGCTCTAAAAGTAAATCAATCACAATCTGCCCAATTGGAATAGAATTTGGATTTATGGAACTTGAGACATTGCTTGTAGGTTCATGATTAGAAGATGATCTGTGAGTCCTCTGTGAAGAGTTCTGTTGTGTAGGAGAATTAGGAAGAGATGCATTGTGAACAGGACTTGATGGACCATAATCTGGAATATGATCAGGATTGAATAAAATTCCAAGTGGTTGAATAGAAGAAGTGTTTTCTGGCTCTTGAGGTTGATGTTTTTGTGGCTTAGAAAAGGGATAGATTGTTTCTTCAAAAAGAACATCCCTGGTAGTAATGATTCTTTTATTTGGTAATAGGATTCTATAGCCTTTATGAGAAGGACTATAACCTATAAAGGTTGAAGGTAAACTTCTAGGTTCAAGTTTGTGTTTAGAGTATTGATGAGGGTTCAACTAACCCTCAGCCCCCCCAGCCCAGGCTAGCCGTGGCCCT